TCTATTGTATCAACCTGTCCACTTGATACTAAGCATGAACGACTTTAGTGGGCAGTGCTTTGGTGCGTACGAGGTCCTGCGCGGCATGCACCGCGGCGCCTTCTCCGTCCTCGTCTCGTCGCCCAGTGCCGTCCTCTACCGCATCGAGAAGAGCGGTGCGCTCTGGTGGCGCCACGTCTAATGACTCTACAGTGTGCGTAGACGTGCGCTATTTGGTGTTGAAAGACGCTGTCACGGAGCAGCTGCTCAAGGCCGACGCCAACGACCTTTACGCGCGCATGCACAAGCAGTCGATCGAGCAGGACCTCGTCATGAACACGCAGTGGCACGAATACAAGGAAGCCATTGTCGCCGAGGCCACTCCGCGGCGCGGCCAGGCCAAGCTCACGCCGCACTTGCTGCCGTTCGTGCACAGTTTGGACCCGTCTCCGCTGGCGACACCCGGACCCAGCGTTGTGCTGCGTACGGCCGACACTAGCGTTGCCGCTCAAGCCATATTTTGTGTAGCGCCACGATCTCCACCGGTGCGAGGACCGCCCAAGCCCATGGTGCCGGTGCGGTCCCACGTGCCGCCAGCCGCCGCCTCGGAAAAGCTCTTTCAAAGCCACAAGACGTGGCTGCAGGCATAGAATGTCAATATGACCACACTCAAATTCACACAACGAGTGCTAGTGGGCCAAAAATCGTGTCGCCAACGTGTCACTCGTCGACGACGGCGACGCGGCCACACAGGTGCGCTTCATGACCTCTGCCTTGCTCCCGCCGCAACATTGCGGGCACTAGCTCTCTCGAAATGCATCGACGAGCCGTGCCACGCGTATCTTGTGCGGCAAGGTCAAGAACGTCAAGCTCGACGACGCCATTCACATCCCGGGCACGGTCCACTCGGTCTTCAAGCACCTCTCGACGGTGCGCACGTTGCCAACGCACGCGCCGTCGCCCCCTTCTGGGACATGAGGCTCTTCCATAGACGTTAGTCAAATAGGGAGCGTCAAAATGGATACGATAACTATGACGCCAAGTTGGTAAATTACAAAAGCACGTTGGACCGTCGCGGGAGACCGAGGCTCGAGCCCCGATGCAACATCATTAACGACGGTGCGCGGCGCGGCGGCAGTGCCGTGAGCTCTTTTCGAGAGTTCGGGTCGATGTGCAGGAAGGTCTTAATGTACGTGAGGACGGGGCAGAGCGCGAGCTCGCAGTCGGTCAAGTGGTGCGGACTCTGGAGGACCGAGAGCAAGACAAAGAGAAAATGGTCGAGGCGGTCCTTGCGCGCGGCCGCGATTGTCTGCGCGCTGCACCAAAAGCGCTCGTGTTTGCGCGGGAAGAGCACGGCCGCGAGCGCCGAATGCAGTGTATGGCAGTCGCAAATGCTAGCGGCGCAAAGGCGGAGGAGCGTCTGTCGAAAAGCATAAAACTCTGAGAACCGCTTGGGCACCAGCCAGCGCTCGGCGCCGGTGTCGACGAGGATGCTGTACGAAATGACGTTGGTGGTACTCTGCGTTGTCGTGAGCGTGTACGCCTCGTCCTCGTGGAGCGTGCGAGTGTCGAGGCTGTCGAGGCTCACGATCGTGGCAAAGACACCGGCGAGCGGCGGTCGGCCAGGATGCGGCATCCTGCGCAAAGCAAAGAGTGACACGCGCTGTCACGCGCAGCGAGTGGTGTTCTTCTTGCGCTGGCTATCGTCGTCCTTGTGACGCTGCCACGTGGGCGCGGACCACATGGAAATGCGAGCTTTGTTTTACTACCAAGTGCTAATAAGCCACAAACGTCCGACGCGTCGACTGCGGAGCGGTTGGAGATGACAGCGCTTCCTCGGGATGAGATTCGCGAGCTCTCGACCGTTCATTGCATGGATCGACTCGATACAGACGGCCCTGGACCCCGCCTCACGACGGCTACCACGTACTACGTTAGACGGCTGGGTACAGTATCGGAAAGCCTTGTGAGGCACACAAACATGGACTCGATTACATCAAGTTGATACGGAAAGACACCGAGTCACGACCACTTGAGAGGAGCATGCACGGGGCTATTGATGATCTCGTCGTGCTCGCGAATCGTGTAGATGGGCTCCGAGAGCTTCCGGCTGCGACTCGCTGCGCTCAGTGGAAGTCGCCGCAGAAGAGCGTCGTGGTGGTGGCCACGGACCTCGAGGAACTTGCGAATGAGCCGCAAGATCGGGCACGACGTCCCGTTGCACGTGTACGCGTGCGTCGACGGCTGCAAAAGACTGAGGAGGACCGAGACGAAGTGCGTGAGCCGGTCCTGGCGGTCGAGAGCGACCCGCTCGGGTTTGCGCCAGAACGCGAGGCTCCGCCGAGGAAAGGCGAGGCCCGCGAGCGGCGCATGGAGCAAGCGGCACTCGCAGTCGCTGCAGCGCGTCATCATGAGGAGGACTCGCCGGAACCGATGAAAGTCCGAGAAGCGCTTGTGGAGAATCCAGCGCGCGGCGCCGTTCTCGAGCAGCACGCCGTAGGCAAAGACGTCCTGCTCGCGCGTGACGCTGACGATCGCGGCCGAGAGGCCGAGGAAGATGTCGTCCATGACCATTTCAAGTGTGCTTCATGCAATCGCACGCGATCGGGTGGTAGCAGGTGACAACTAGTACCGTACACGCCACACGAATTACGCGGTCCTACAGCATGGGACACTCTGCTTCGAGCACTGGACCCACGCGGCTTCTTCGGAGATTGCGTTGTCTGTCGCGATCCAAGATGATATGCTGCGGTGTCGACAGGCGTCTGCTTTCTCGCATACCGTACTGCGTACTCGTACCATGCACCTGCCACCTTGTTTGCTATCGGTATCGTTGAGACTCGCAGCAAGAATCTCGAGCTTGAGAGGGTAACACTCGTTGTGCAAGACGCAGGATCTTAGTACTACCGAGTGCGTTGGGCCAGTAAACGTTGCGCGTCTGGTCGTCGCCGTCGGGCAGAGAGGATGAGTGCTGATAGTAGTGTAAGGTCTGGGCATGAACATGGGATTTGGGTGCGCTGCGGAAGGGGCCAAGTCGATCGACTTGATTGCTCTATGGCGCGCGTCATGGCGCTGACAATGTGTCCAGTTACAAGCGGCCGCAAGTCATTCCCACAGAGACGCAGCGAGGTGTATTCTCCACCTAGCGCTGACGCAGGGAGCGTGGCGAGTGAGCAAGCACTAAGGAACAAATCCGCATTCGATTAGTCTTGTCGCAGGCGATGTGCTACCGAGATTCCCACGTCCCTTGAAGATCGACGCTTCGGACTCCATATAAACAAGCTGCCTCTAATTGCAATATATATATGGACAATAGTGTCCTAGACCCAATGTGTTGTTGTGGTCATTATGAATCTGCAATTGATCACTTCGTCGTCTTCGCGGATCGGATAAATAGGGAGGTTGTGGCTTGGCGACTGGACACGCTGGGGCGTCTTGGGCGGGAGGTCACGGAGGAGTAGCTGGCCTTGGTCGCACTTGCGCGCGGCCGGGACGACGTGGAGAAAGGCGTGGATAAGGCCAAGCACGGGGCACTGGGCATGCTCGCACGCGACCAAGTGGTCCTTTTGCTGCAAGAGGATCAGGAGCACGCTCAGAAACTGGCTCAGACGGTCTTGGCGGTCCATCGCGATGCGCTCGGCGGGCCGCCACGGCAGAAAGTTGGCCTCCTTCTTCGGAAACACCATCGACGACAAGGTCAGCCAGAGGTACTGGCAGCGACACGTGCACTTGCTCGTCAAGCGCAGCAGCTCGAGGCGGAAGCGGTGGAACTCGGAGAATCGGCGGTGGAGCAGCCAGCGCTCCGAGCCGTTCTCGACGAGGATCGCGAATGCCAGCGATGCGTGCTGCCGGTCTTTGGTGATGCTGAGGATCGTCGCCGAGAGGCCGAGAAGGGGGAATCGGACCGGCGTCGGGCGTACGCGGAGCTTTGGTGCTAGCATGGCAAATATGTTGTATGAGGGCTTGGTCATCGAGCGCACTGAGCGCACCAGCCGGAGAAGGCTAGAGTCGGTCGACAGAAGGACACGAATTTCGTGGCAGCTCCTCGCTGGATCTCGAGCACATTTGCCAGCGATATGCTGCAAACGGCCATGCCCAGCGTGCGCCGACCACAAGCATGTGATGTCCCGACCGTATTGCGTTTTGATAATGATACGCTTCGTCGTGGTCCAATCCGGTCACAGGATGTGATGCAGCCCGCCGTCGCTGTCCGACGCCGTGAAAAGGCCATCCAGTTGCTGCATGCAGGCGCTGCCACGTATGCTCGTCGCCACCGATTGGCTCCATCGCCGCCATCGGACGCGCTGCTAATGCCCCATACAGCGACAAGACGGCGTGTGCAATCACTTTTGACCATGTAATAACTCAACGCTGGCTCTGGAGCTCGCTCACAATTTGTGCAAGCGTACCAGACGGGTTTGTCGACTGGTTGAGAGAGAACGCGATCCAGTCGCACCACCACTGGATGTCCGCTACCCTGTACCAAGCACCACGCACATTTGTAAGTGAACAGAGAACACCACGCATTACGACGCAAAGATAGCAGCAAACACTACACGTAGAGCTCGTCGCCCTTGCAAATGCGCCGCGCTGCCACAACGACGCGGTTATGGATCTCGCAGTTGGGTGGGTGGCGTCGCTTGAGCTGTGTCGGCCACTCGACCACTGCCTCGTTCTCCGGTGGCGCGTCGCCGTCGGAGGGGCTCGCGGTTGCTGCCCGCTTCGACTGATTCGAGACGACGCGTCGGGTTCGCAACGAGGTTGAGGAGCTCGGCTGCACGTGTGCTTGGTCGGCTCCATGGTGACGTGCGACAGCGCTCGTACCCGATCGCTCGATCTTCGTACGCTTCCGGTCTGTCGGCGACGCCAACGGCAACGATGGACTTGAGCGCCTCACCTCCTGGATACGGCGTTCGGCGTCCCATGCATCGGTCATGGCATACAGCCACGCGTCGCGCTCCTCGGCGTTCGCCGGGATACCTCGTCGGTTGTGAGTGACCAGGGCCAAGCGCCGTTCCAAGTGCCATGCCAACGCGTTGGACATCGAGCGCGTGCGCACGTAGAGAGAGATGCAGCGCGCATTCTCATTCTCGAGGAGGCGGACAATTTCTGCGCTGTCCATGGCGGGGCGGGGCGGGAGCGCCATGTTGCACTCGTGCCATGCACCCTCGGCCGCGAGGATCTCGTCGCCGATCGCGAGACCGGCCAAGTACGCTGGCGACTGCGGCAAGACGACAGAGACGATGACGCTTCGCTGTGCACCGCCGCCTTTGGTCGATAGGCCGAACGACTGAGAGGCGGTCCGTCGGCAGATCAGTCGCCACGACGAAGCTGCCATGCCAGTATCAAACAGAAATAAAACCCGTCCAAGACGGGTTGCGTTAAAACCAGCTAAAGACGCGTTGCGTTAAAATGCTTTAACCCGTCTTGACGGCACCAAAACCTCAAGCGTCGCATGTGAGACCTAAGGACGTTAAACAGGTGAAACGAAGCTGAAAAGGTATTTCGTCAGCACCGTCTCGGAAAAGCCTTCCTTCAATCATCAGGGGACCTCATGCGCGCTCGTTTGCATCGACGGGCCGCAGCAGCTGAGGAGCAAAGCTTGTGCCCGACAGGCGACGTGCCGATCATTCTCAGGCGCGACGAGCCGTGGAGCATCTGTACTATCGGTGCCTAGACGAGGCTGGTGCACCTGGTTCTTGAAGTCATTCTGTGCCAATTCCATCCACACCACAGGCCTATACTACGCCAGGCCTCGTTGTCGTTCACCTCTCAATCACGCACTCCTCGCTTGCAAGACCAGCGACAGTCCGAGGTATCCTGTCGTCGACGAGTATCTTTCGTGTCTAGCTCTGCTCAGATTCAGGCTTGGACGACAGCGTCGGGGCGCTCGAGGACAATATCTATAGCTCCGAGGTGCGTCCACAGTATCGTAGGCGCTACGGCTGCCAGGTGTCATCTGCCCTCGCGCAACGCTGTGGCGACAGGCACGGCCCATTGACGTACGAGCGAGCCCTTGCCGTTCAACTGGAACTGGGGTGAGCATCCGACGCGCGCCTGTCGCTGACACCCAAGAGCAGATGACTCATGTTCGTGCATGGCATTTGCGAATTCCCCATGCACTGCTACTTTGGCGACTGCGTCCACGAAGCCCTGGAGGGATCGTGGCGCTGCCACTTCCACCGGCACCGGCTCAAGTGCAACATCGCCGAGTGCCGCAACCAAGTGTATGCACGCGGCCTCTGCGTCCGGCATGGCGGCAAATCGCGCTGCCAAGTCGACGCGTGCGACACCAACGTGCGCGACGGCAGCTTCTGCGCCAAGCACGGGGGCGGGAAGCGGCGAGGCAATTGCATCGAAGCCGGATGTGTCAACCGGGCACAGGCGCGCCAGCGTTGCATTCGCCATGGCGGCGGGAACCACTGCCGCGCCGACAACTGCCTCAAGTACGCACGCACGAACGGGCTTTGCACCCGCCACAGTCGTGCTCTCATGACGCTGCCATGGCTTGCCAAGCCGGTGCCGGTGGAGCCGACTCCAGCCGTATCGATGGCGGAGTCGGACGACTGGATAGACTGTGCGATCCTTGCCGACCTCTGTCGCCTCAG